GGAGGTAACATACCACATGTGAGCGTGCTACTTTGAACCATCTGCAGAGTCACTCATAAAGCTGCCACCAAGTTCAGGATGCAGTATCAACCACTGTGCCACTTGGCTTATAATCCAGCACACCCAATGACACCTGAAGCATCCATGGCAAACAGGAGTGCTCTATGGAGCCTCCCGCAAACACTAATAGGAGAATGACAATGCAATCCTCTAGAATTTGAGACATCTATGCTCTCTTTTGGAAATAATTATTCTATAATACTTTTGAGAAACAACTTCTGCTTTGCTACTGGGCTTCAGTATAGAGGCTGAGTGCCTAACCATGGGACACCAGGTGATTATGCCGTCTGAACTTCCCATCATGAGCTGGGTGCCTGGCCGTGAGGGCTGGCTGTGTGCGGCAGCAGTCCAGTATCAAGTGAGCACAGTATGAGAAACCGAGCTTGTGCAGGCACAGAGCAGGCTGCACCGGCAGGTGGCTCAGACTCCTTCAACACCAATTCCTAGTGCACTACTTCCTCTCCCTCAATCCGTGCCTGTGGGAGTTCCTCATGACCAGCTGACTGAAGAAGAAAAACTGTGAGCGTGTTTTACAGATGGGTCTATACGACATACTGGGACCACCCAAAAGTGAACAGCCCTATTTCTGAAGTGACACAGAAGGAAGCTGGTGAAGGAAAATCTTCCTAGGGAATTCTCTGGTTGTCCATTTTGTCTGGATTGAAAGATGGCCAGAATTACTAATCTAAACAGATTCGTGGGCAATTACTAATGGTATGGCTAAAAGGTCAGGGACTTAGAAAACTGGTAACGAAGTCTGGAAGGAGGTATGAGGATGGCTTCCTTCAAACCAACACAGACTTTGAAAATGTTTGTGTCCCGTGTAAACACTCAAAGGGTATGCACTGTAGAGAAGGCTGCTAATAATCAGGTGGACAAAAAAAATGACATGCTCTATGGATGTCAATCATTCTTTCCCCAGACACACCAGTGCTTATCCAACGGGACTGTGGACAGAGCGGCCGCAGCAGCAGCCATGGATAATGTGAAGGGCTCAACTGCTAATGCTACAGCTGGGAGTCCGATCTGCCAACAGCAGAAACTAACGCTGAGTACCGGACATGGTACCATTCCTCGAGGGGACCAGACACCTGGAGGCAGGTTATTTACACTGGACCTCTTCTATCATGAAGGAGGCAGATATTTATCCTAATTAGAATAGACACGTTCCGGAAATGGATTTGCCTGTAATGCTTCTGCCAGTACCATCATCCATGAGCTTACAAAATGTTTTATCTCCTGTCTTGGCACCCTAGACAGCATTGTTTTCAATCAAAAACTCATTCTGCAACAGAAGTGCAGCAATGATTTTTGTCTCACCCAAAGGTCAAAATATATGGGTCTTATATTCAAGGCATGAAAATAGGAGTGGCTCTTCTCACTGCTATACCTAATAACTAATTCAAAGAATTTTTGCTCTCCTCCCAACTCCTCTGAACTCTGCTGGTTTGTAGTCTTATTGTCCAAAAGACTTGCTTCTACCAGGAAACAAAACAATGGTTCCAATGAATTAGAGACTTCCACTGAAACGACGGGCAGGAAAAGGTTGTTCCACTGGCCCAAGTGACTGATCCCAATCATCCAGGGGAAACTGGGTCACTGCACACAATGTGGGCTAGAGGGACTGTGTTTGGAGCCCAAAGGATTTTCTTGGGCTCCTTACAGTACTTCCATGTCCACTACTAAAGGTTAATAGAAAACTACAGCAACCACAAAAAGGCAGGACAATTGAGGACCCTTCAAAATGAAGATTTTGTTCCTACCACCATCAGCAAAAGAACCCAGAGCAACTGAAATTTCAGTTGAAGAAATACTGAACAGAAGAAAGCCAGAGATATCAACTACAGCCTTGTGACCAATTCTAGAACAGGGACCATAGCAGCTTTTCATATTTTCTCTTTGTTTATTGCATATATCTGTATTTGTGTATGTTAACCATTTTCTTCTTCTTTCCATACTCATTTTATATGTAAGTTGTGGAAGATGAACTTTATAAAGTAGTCTTTAGTTAACAGAATATTCAGAGGCACTATGATGGACTATATAATTAATATAGCTAGCAATGATTGTTGGGGCTGTGCATTTCCTTATTTTGGGGAGAGGATAAGAACTTCCTCACTTACATGAAGGACAGGAATACCTTGTGAGGTGAAAACAGTTGTTCTGTTGTTGAATATAATTTCAAATGTGTTTAAGAAGCATTCATACTGAAGCTGAGTAGCCAAGGGAGTGAAGTGTGGCAGTTATTTATTGCCTCTCAAATCAAATGTATTGGCTCTCAGCTTCAAATCCACACTTCGTTGCCCTACTTTATAATAAACGATGTGGATTCTCTAAGTGTTCTCCTTTGCCACCTGGAAATGTTACAGGTTTGTCAGCAGAGGGTGCTAGAGGGACACTGCAGTAGCAAAGTCTGTGCTCTGTAGTTGAGTGGCTTCTTGTCCCTCTTCCCAGCCTGGGGGCCCATCTGTACCCTGGTAGGGAGTTCACCTGCTTGCCAGCCCTGGTCATCAGTTCCCTTCCTACCAGCCTTGACCAGATCACTCTGAAGCAGTTCTGGCCTAGAGCAACCCAGTGAACTCTGCTATCTACTGGACTGCAACTAACATATTCTTCAACAATGTCTGAATTTCAGCCATGAGGAACGGGATTCCCCCTTCAAGTTTGTTCCTTCCTTGGGAACTCTCCCTCAACTACAGGGTATTCTCCTCTATCCTTCCCAGTAGGTAATCCCTTGAAATGGTTAATTCTTTAAATTCAACTGTCCCTGTTCAAATTACTGTGTGGTTTCTGACTCCTGACTAATATAGAAGTAACAAATATCTTAAAGTCTAGAGAAACTGGCTATATATCTATAAACTGGAATACTACTATTACTCCTTCTCCTATACTGAGTAGATATCATAGTCTATAAGTATCATAATGATTATATCCCACTGCTACTATGCTGTAATAATAATTAACAGACACCAAAAATTACCTGATACTTAATACATGCTAACCATTATTCTAGGTAGTTTATTTGTATTAATTCATTAATCCTAACAATCACCCTACAATAACCTATTACAAATGTCTTTCATGCAAAAAATACAAATCCCCTACCCAGAATTATTCTTTAGAACAAAGATTAAATAAACTTCTATAATCATGTTTGCTGCAAAGTTCGTAATGGTTATATTAACGCATACCATGACTGTTTTTTTTTTTTTCTAACTCTCCTACATTCCTAGCAATTATTTAAAAAGTTAAACTTCACTGTCTTCGTCACAAACTAATAGTGAATTATTACAGCTGATTAAAGGCTACAAAACATCCTTACAACAAATTCTTCAACACTCGTAGCAGCAGCAGAAAGAAAATATTCAAAGGGAAAATACTAATAATACTAAACCATAACCGTAGGCAATTATCAACCCAGTTTATTCTGTCTCAGTGGCCAACTCAATGTAAATTCATTACTGTGAGTTTCACAAATACTTGTGAAAGAAACAAAAACCAATAGCCAAAAGGCTTAAAAAACCAGAACTATTAAATATCTTCCTCCTGCCCCTTCAGAGATGGGTAGTGCTTTATTGCCCAGGCTGGAGGGCAGTGGCTGACCATAGCTCACTGCAGCCTTGAACTCCTGGGCTCAAACAGTCCTCCTGCCTCAGCCTCCCAAGTAGCAGAACTACAGGTACGTGCCACCACATCCAGCTAATTTCATTTTTTTTTTTTTTTTTAAAGATGGAGTTTCTCTATGTTGCCCAAGCTAGTCTCAATCTCCTGGCCTCCAGCAATCCTCCCACCTCAGCCTCCCAAGGTCACTGAGATTATAGGCATGAGGCACCACACGTGTCTCCTAAATATTTCATTTGTAAAAACAGTCTATCTGCTTTATTCTACTAGTTAAGAAGTACAATTTCATTTAACCAAAAGCCGATTATGTAAACTTTCAGGACTCAGTCCGTAATTTTAAAAATGGCTTCTAAACTCAGATGTCCCATACCCTGATATTTAAATTTCACAGTTATGCAACGAAGTTAATTTAACTATAATTGGAAGTCTTCCTTTAAAAGCCTAGAAGTCTCTTTTCAACATTATGGGAGGAAAGACATTAAAAAATTACATTTTTATGTCACCAGAGCATAATTTGAGGCCCCAAAATCTTAAGATTTGCTAACAGAGCAAATCCTCTAAGAACACCACCTTTGATCTTCTTTCCAATCACCCTTCTATCTAATAATCATGATAATGATAATTAACAATTACTTTTAGTAGCCAGGGACTAAGAGCTTTACATGAATTAACTCATTTATTTCTCAGAACTAGCTTATTATCCCCATTTTACAAGTAAGGAAAAAATGAAGCACTAAGAGATTACATAATTTGCTCAAGAAGTGGTAGAACAGAGATATGACTCATACAGTCTGGCTCTAGAGTGTGAACTTCAGTTGAAAGCTCTGAATAGTAGCTAACTAAAACCTCGTGATGATACTTAAGTAGCTACTGTTATTATCCTCATTTTATAGACAAGAGAACTAAAATTTGTCCAAAGTCACATAACCAGTCAATGATGAAATCAGGATTCTAACCTAGTCTGCCCTACTCAAAAAACCAATTTCTTAACTATGATGATATACTGCGTTTCTGTAAGCAATAACTCCAAAATCCATCAGATAAATCAGATCAAATCTCACACAAATTAAGGTTCAAACAGGAAGAAGATACTATGTCATGATGTAAACTTAAAAATTACACCCTCAGAAATATGAAATATTTAGTTGATCCTACCAAGTATTTCCAATGGGACCAATAAGCAAAGACATTTAAAAAAAAATGTATTGCCTAAGAGAAAATACACATCTACATAAAACAGTTTAATATAACAGACAAAATAAATAGCTGTAATGTTAACTTTGCTTGCCATGTGCATTAAGCAGCAAATGTAAACATACCTGCAAGGAGGCAAGACCATAGAGTCTTTCACAAGCACAGATCCAGAGAGCAGGATGTACCAACATCTGGCAATAGTTTCTGCACTGTTCAAATAAATAAGTAAATAAATTAGTAAATGAACACATATGTTCACATATATGTGGATTCAATGTGAAATATATAATGTAAAATACATTCTGGTAATACTGCAAATCATTAAAAATATCACTTAGAAATTTGGGAAATTTTGCCTGGTGCCTAAGGTGGAAAAAAGTATAATCACTATCTTAAGATACAGATTTCATAAGTATGTATTTATTAGCTCTATCTTATTAATTATATTGTTAATTTCACAGTCTTCATTTCTGTGTTTTAGATCATCGCACGTAATGAAGATTAATTTAAACATTGTACTTCATCTACATGTTAAAAAATTCTCTGACAACTTTGTTTATGTATATTAAAGACCATCTTATTTTGAATTTCTAAGTTTATCAATATTTTATCTTCACTTTCAACTATGTTTTTTTTTTTTTTGAGACAGAGTCTCGCTTTGTTGCCCGGGCTAGAGTGAGTGCCGTGGCGTCAGCCTAGCTCACAGCAACCTCAAACTCCTGGGCTCAAGCAATCCTTCTGCCTCAGCCTCCCGAGTAGCTGGGACTACAGGCATGCGCCACCATGCCCGGCTAATTTTTTCTATATATATATATTTTTAGTTGTCCAGATCATTTTTTTCTATTTCTTAGTAAAGATGGGGGTCTCACTCTTGCTTAGGCTGGTCTCGAACTCCTGACCTTGAGCGATCCACCCGCCTCGGCCTCCCAGAGTGCTAGGATTACAGGTGTGAGCCACCGTACCCGGCCCATTTTCAACTATAATTTGGATGACCTGTTTATTTAAGTCTTATTATGACAGATATATATACATATATATATATATATCTAATCTAATCTAATCTGTTTTTCTCTCGTTCTCTCAGATATCTATTCATCATACCTAAGGCTTGAATTAATTCTAATGTGTAAAAGATTCTAATATATATACCAAATCTTTCCTCTGAGCTGCAGAACTATGTATCTGTCTGGCTGTCTACCTGACGTGTCAATTTGTATACTTAAAATAAAACTCAAACTGAACAGTTCAAAATCTACCTCATTACCATTTCCTTCTAGCTTGGATCTCTTCTGGTATCCTCTCTTTTCAATGAATAGCAGTATCATTCTCCATCTAGAAACCTAGGTCCACCCTATTCCACACGGCATCCAGAGTAAGCTTTCTAGGTCAACTCTACTGCTTACCATGAGAAGAAAAAACTATTGTCAACTTTCCAGTAGATACTTTAAAGTTCTTTATATCCCTTTTCATCTTCACCAAGGGAAGATACAAATGGCTGCAAATTGCCTACCTAAAGTTCTTTGTTTAGAACTCCTACTTCCTTACTCTTTTTTAATATATCTTTTTTTTTATATATACACAGGGTCTCGCTATGTTACCCAGACTGGAGTGCAGTGGCGATACACAGGTGCAATCATAGTGCAATACAGCCTTGAACTGTTGGGCTCAAGCAATTCTCCTGACTTAGTCTCTCAAGTAGCTGGGACTACAGGTGTACACCACTGTGCCAGGCTGAAACATGACTGTCTAAAAAATCAATGAAGAATAAAATCAGCAAAGGATAAATTTGCACAAAATAAAGGGAAAAGAAAGTTATGACTGGATGCCACTACGAGCCTACAATTTTTTAATTTTAGCTATTTATTTTTTAACAGACAAGCTCTTGCTCTGTTGTCCAGGCTGGAGTGCAGTGGCACAACCAAGCTCACTGCAGTTTCAAACTGCTGGGCTCAAGTGATCCTCCTGCTTCAGCCCTCCGAATAACTGGGACTACAGGCACATGCCACCACATTTGGCTAATTTTTTTTATTTTTGTAGAGATAGGATCTCGCTGTGTCACCCAGGCTGGTCTTGAACTCCTGGCCTCAAGTGATCCTCCCACCTCAGAATTCCAAAGTGCTGGGATTATATGCATGAGCCACGGTGCCCGGCCATCAAAGAGATGAAAAAATAACAAAACAGAAACCTTGGAGCTGAAAAATTCAATGAATAAAATAAAAAAAATGCAACTGACAGCTTTAACAACAGACTAGATCAAGCAAAAGAAAGAATTTGTGAATTCAAAGGCAGGTCTTCTGAAATAACCCAGTCAGAGGGGGGGCAAAAAGAATGAAGAAAGCCCACAAAACTTATGGGACACCATTGAGCAAATAAATTTTTATATTATAAAGGTGCCAGAGGGAGAAAAAATACAGAAAGGCACAGAAAACCTATTTAAAAAAATAATACCTAAATACTTCCCAAGTAGTGGGAGAGATATTTAGTCAAAAACTGTAAAAAGAGACAAAGAAGGTCATTATATAAAAGGATCAGTTTAACAGAAAAACAATTGTAAACATACATGCACCTGACACCAAAGCACCCAAATATATAAAGCAAATATTTTTAGATCTAAAGGGAGAGATGAACTGTAATACAATAGCAGGTGATTTGAACACCCCACTTTCAGCAACGGACAGATCATCTACACAGAAAAAAAAAAGATATCAGCCTTAAACTGAACCGCAGACCAAATGGACCTAACAGACGTTTACAAGATATTCCATTCAACTACTGCAGAATATACATTCTTCTCAACTGCAAATGGAACATTCTCCAGGATAGATCATATGCTAGGTCACAAAACAAGTCTTAAGAAATTTAACAAAATAGAGAGCACGCACCTATAAACCCAGCTACTTAGGAGTCTGAGACAGGAGGACTGCTTGAGCCTGGTAGTTCAAAGCCAGCCTGGGGAACATAGAGAGAACCTTGCTCAAGAAACAAAAAAAAACCCCAACAAAACGAAGAGTTGGTTTTTTGAAAAGATAAACCTTTAGTTAGGGTAACTAAGAAAACATAAAAGGGACACTCAAAATGACAGAAGAAAAAGGAAACATTACAATTGATAATCATATTAAGAATCAAAAGATCATCAGAGACTATTATGAACAAATATACCAACAAATCTGGTAATGGAAGAAATAGATAAATTCCTGGACACATACAACCTACAAAAATTACATCATGAAGAAATAAAAAAATCTAAGCAGACCCATAATAAGTGAGGAAATTAAATCAGTAATAAAAAGTCTTCCACCAAAGTAAAGTCCAGGACCTAATGGCTTCATTGATGAATTCTACCCAACATTTAAAGAAGAACTAGTATCAGTCCTCCTCAGACTATTCCAGAAAAGCGAAGAGAAGGGAATACTTCCAAACTCATTTTATAATACAAGGCCAGCATTATTCTGATTCCAAAACCAGAGAAGGACACAACAAAAAAGAACACTACAGGCCAATACACCTGATGAACACAGATGCAACAATTCTTTACAAGATACAAGCAAACTGAATTCAATAGCACACTAAAGGTTCATTCCCTATGATCACGTGGGATTCCTCGCAGGAATGCAAGAGTGGTTCAACATACTCATATCAACAAAGGTGACACACCATATTCACAGAAAGACAAAAACCATATGATCACTTCAAAAGACACAGAAAAAGCATCTGACAAAACTCAACATCCCTTCATGATAAAAAAAAAAAAAAAAACTCTCAAGAAATTCGGTATAGAAGGTATGTACCTCAACACAATGAAAGCCATATATGACAAACCCACAGCTAACATCTTAGTGAATGGAGAAAAGCTGAAGGCCTTTCCTCTAAGATCACAAACAAGATGAGGATGCCCATTTTCATACTTCTATTCAACATAATATTGCAAGACCTAGTCAGAGCAATTAGAGAAAGAAATAAAATGCATCCAAATTGGAAAGGAGGAATTCAAATTGTCCCTGTTTGCAGATGACATTATCTTAAATATAGAAAACCCTAAAGACTCCACGAAAAAACTGTTAGACTGTTACCAAACTCAGTAATGTTACAGGACACAGAATCAACATACAGAAATTGGTGACATGTCTATATGCTAATAATGAACTATATGAAAAAGAAATCAGGACAATTCCATTTACAATAGCTACCAAAAAAAAAGATATGTAGGAATAAATTTAACCAAGCAGGTAAAAGATCTCTAAACTAACTACTATAACATCTGATGAAAGAAACTGAAGATGACACTAGTAAATGAAAAACATATCCTATGTTCATGGATTGGAAGAACACTGTTAAAATTACATACTGACCCAAAGTGATCTATAGATTTAATGCAATCCCTATCAAAATACCAATGACTTTTCACAAAAACAGAAAAAACAATCCTAAAATTCATATGGAAACACAAAAGACCCAAAATAGCCAAAGCAATTCTGAGCAAAAAGAACAAAACTGGAGGTATCACACTGGTGGACTTCAAAATAAAATACAAAGCTACAGTAACCAAAACAGCACAGTACTGACATTAAAAAAAAAAAAAAAAAAGACACACAGACCAATGCAACATGATTAAATTCACGCATCCACAGCCAAGTGATTTTTAACAAAGGTTTCAAGAACACATACTGGGAAAATGACGGGTCCTTCAATTAATGGGGCTAAGAAAGTGAATATCCATGTGCAGAAGAATGAAACTACACCCCTACCTCTCACTGTATGGAAAAATCAACTAAAATAGATTAAAGACTTAAACGCAAAACCCAAAACTATGACACCCCTAGAAGAAAACATAGGCAAAACACTTTATGACACTGGGTGGGGCGAGGATTTTTTTAAGGGTGACCTCAAAAGCACAAGCAACAACAAAAATAGACAAATGAGATTACATCAAACTAAAAAGCTTTTGCACAGCAAAGGAAACATTAAGAGAGTGAAGAGACAACCTACAGAAATGGAGAAAATATCTGCAAACTATACATCTGGCATGGGGTTAATATTCAGAATATATAAAGAATTTAAACAACTCAACAGCAAAATAAATAGGTAACTTGATTATAAAATAGGCAAAGCACCTTAACAGACATTTCTTAAAAGAAAACACATATATGGTATATGAAAATAGTCAACATCGCCAACCATCAAGGAAATGCAAACCAAAATCACAATGAGGTATCTCCTCACTCCAGTGAGAAAGGCTATAATCAAAAAGACAAAAGAAAAAAAGTGTTGGTGAGGATTTGAGAGAAGGGAAAACTTTCACACTGTTAGTGGGATTGTAAATTAGTACAGCCATAATGGAAAATATGTAAGTTCCTAATAAAATTAAAAATACAACTACCCACCACATGATCCAACAATCCCACTATTTGGTATATTTCCAAAGGAAATGAAATCAGTATATCAAAAAAATATCTGTACTCCCATGTTTACTGTAGCACTATTTACAATAGCTAAAATATAGAATCTACGTAAGTGTCCAACAAATAAATGGATAAATAAAACAGGGTATATATACCTCATACTATTCAGCCATTAAAAAAAAAAAGAAATCTTGTCATTTGTGACAACATTGATGAGCCTGGAAGATATCATGTTAAGTGAAAAAAGACAGACACAGAGAAATACCACATATCACTCATACGTAGAATTTAAAAAGTTGACATAGCAGTAGAGAGTTAAATAATGGTTACCAGAGACTGAGGAAATGGGGGAGAGGTTAGCCAAGGGGTACAAAGTTACAATAAGAGGGATAAGTTCTGGTATTACATTGCACAGTAGGGTTACATGGTTAACAATATAGTGTTGCATATTACCAAATAGCCAGAAGAGAGGTTTTAGAATTTTTTCACCACAAAGAAATGATAAATGCATGAGGTGACAGATATACTATCCCGATTTGCTCATTATAGAACATATACACATATCGAAACATCAAACTGTACACCATAAATATGTACAATTACAGTGTGTCAATTAAAAAATAAAAAATGATCAAGACTGTTGAAAATGAGATCATATAACCTAAAATCAACAGAAAACCACTTATTATATTTAATATGTTCAAGAACAAAGAGAACAAGACAAGGGACTTGACCTAAGAACTGAGATCTATGAAAAAGAAATAAAAATCTAGAACTGAAAAACACAATTAAAAATTAAGATTTCAAATGGTGGGTTTAATATAAGACTAAAAACAGCAGAAGACAAGAATGTACAAATTAGAAAATAAGTCAGTAGAAAACAGAAGATTGAAGAACAGAGAAAAAGGAATGAAAAAATGTAAAACAGTATAAAAGGAACATGGGTCAAAATGAAAGAAAGTAGGAAAGAAGAAAGAGAATGTAGGAAAGAAGCAATAATGAAAAACTACTGGCTAGGAATTTTCCAAAACTGATAAAAGATATCAAATCACAGAACCAAGAAGGTCTACAAACTTCACAGAGAATAAATCCAAAAACAAAACAAAACCCAAACCTAGTAACGTTAGACACAACTGCCGAAAAGCAAAAACAAAGAAAAATCTCAGAAGTGGCAAAAGGAAAAAAACACATAACCTACAAAGAAGTAATAACAACACTGGTTACTGACTCTTCAACGTAAACAGAAGCCAGACACAATAAATCAACAGGCTAGAATTCCATTAGCGGGAAAAATATCCTAAACATTACTGTGAAGAATTAAAGTAGGGCCAAATAAATGGAAGAATATACATGTCTGCTGATTGAAAGACTCGATACTATGAGAGTGCCAACCGTCTCTGGACTGAATTATGGATTTAATGCTATCCTAATCCAAAGCCCACAGCCCTCCCACAGGTTTTCTGCTGGGAAGATGTGTGTGGAAATTAATGAGCTGATTCTAGAAATTATTATATATAGAAAGGCAAAGCAACATTAATAGCCAAGACAATTTTGAGGAACAAAACTGCACACAAAACATTTGCTACCAGATATCAACATACACAGCCAGAGTAATTAAGACAGGGCAGTACTGGCACGAAGATAGACAAATAGATTGATGAGCAAAATAAAGAGACCAGAAAGATATATACATACATACACACATACAACAACATATACATGTAATACATTTGGTCACTTAATTTAAAACAAAGTAGACACTTCAGTGCAGAGAGGGAAAAAGATAATCAATAAATGGTTCTGGGTCAATTGGACATCTACAGGGATAGAAAAATCAATCTTGCCAATGATAAAATCCAAGCTTTCAATCAAAAATATAAATTTTAGAACATTTGTATCCATTACTGTGAGCCTGACATTTCTCTACATTTTTGAAAGAGATTGGTGGTGATATTAGCAAATGCCATTTTTGATAATGTATTAAAAAAAGGTGTCAAAATTGGAAAAACTATATAACTCAGTACCATCGATACTTTCCAAATGACCAATTTACGCTACAAAATCACATATGGATTACTGATCCATTCAAAGTGCAAGAGAGACCCATGGTTTTTTAATGCAACAGAGTAGAAAAAGTTCACCAATAAAAGTCTCAGATTCCATGTTGCAACTAACCTGTAAGAAACTTGTCAAGTTTTGGTATTGTGTGTTTTAAAGAAGAATATCCAAATTATCTGGCAAGGCTACTAAAATAAGTTCTCGTTTTTCCAACTTCTTTGTATGAAGATTTCCATCATTCAAAAAAAAAATATATTATAACAGATTGAATGCAGAAGGTATGAGAATCTAGCTGGGTGCAGTAGCTCATGCCTGTAATCCTAGTCTACGAGGCCAAAGAGGGAGGATCCCTTGAGCTCAGGACTTGGAGACCAGCCTGAACAAGAGCGAGATTCGTCTCTATTAAAAACAGAAAAAAGTGGCCAGGTGTGGTGGTGCACGCCTGTAGTCCCAGCTACTTTGGAGGTTGAGGCAGAAGGATTGCCTGAGCCCAAGAGTTTCAGGTTGCTGTGAGCCAGGCTGACACCACGTGACTATAGCCTAGGTGACAGAGCGAGACTTTGTCTCAAAAAAAAAAAAAAAAAAGAAAGAAAGAAAGAAAAAAAGAAGGTATGAGAATCCAACTAATGTCAGCAGATATTAGATTTCTAAAACTATAATGAGATCTTTTGTTTGGAAAACAATTTTTTCTCACAAATATACGTTAATTGTGTTAACATATAATAGGTTTCTCATTAATTTAAAAATGACTAATAAATATTTTTAAAATTAAGAAAAATGAATCTTGAATTCTACATATCATAAACAAAAATCAATTCCAAGATGAACGAACTGTAGATCTAAATTTGAGAAGCAAAACATTTAGAGGAAAAACAAAGAAGAAAACCTTCATAATCATGGGGAAGGGAAATATTTGGGGTTTTTTTGTTTTGTATTTTTTTTTTAGGCTGGTCAAGTGAAGCAGTGGGAGTGGAGAAGGAACAAAGGAATCTGTAATTGGTTGTGATAAGATTTATTTTTTAGACAGGGCACAAAAAGCACTAATCACAAGGGGAAAAACTGAAAGAGGAATTTCTGTTCCTCAAAAGATGCCATTAACAGAATAAGGAAAGTGGCACAATGGGAGATAATATTTGCAATGAATATATCCAACAAAGAACTTCAGTGCAGAATTCATAAGGAATTTTTGGACAACCTAATTAAAAATTGGTCAAAAACTTGAATCAGGATTTCATAAAAGAGGCTATCCAAATAGCCTATAAAAACATGAAAGTCATTTACCACCATTAGTAAACAGAGAAATGTCAAATAAAATCACAATGTGATAACGGCAAAAATTCAAAACAAGCAAATACAAAACCTGACAGTATCAAGGCCTGTCAAAGATGTAGAGCAACTGGAACTTACTATGCACAGGTAATGGTTATTAAAGTGGATATAATTATTTAAGAAAACTGTCTGAATCTCCCAAATCTGAACATGCAAATTTCCAGTACAGTAATGCATCCCTTAACAAAAGGATACATTTGGAGAAAGGGACTGTTAGGTGATTTTGTCATGAGAACATCACAGTGTTCTTACACAAACCTAGATGGTATAGTGTCCTTCATATTCAGGCTATATGGTATAGCCTATTGCTCGTAGGCTACAAACCTGTACAGTGTGTTACTGTACTAAATATTGTAGGCAACTCTAACACAATGATAAGTACCTGTGTATCTAAACGTGCACCACCACAGAAAAGGTACAACAAAAACATGGTATTATAATCTTAGGAGACTACCATCGTAAATGCAGTCATCGTTGACCAAAACATTGTTATGTGGCACATGACTGTAATTCTATTCCTAGGAATATGTGCAACAGGGATGAGTACTAAGGACACAAAAAGACAAAACTCAAAATGTTGATAGAAACTTTATTACTTACAATAGTAAATAACTAGAAATAACTTAAGTATCTATTAACAGTGGACTGGATAAATGAATAGTTATTTTCACACAATGGCATACTGTTTAACAGTGAAAAAGAACAAATGCAAAAATATAGAAGAATTTTGGACATTTGCTAAGTACAAAAAGCTTGACCAAAAGATTCTTCCTATAACAAGTCCAAAAAAGAGACAAAACTATTCTATAGTGATAGAAGTAAGAACTGTGATTACCTTTCCAAAAGAGAGTTGACTAGAACCTTCTGGAAAGGTGGTATTTTCATCCAAGTAGTAGTTACACAGGTGTATATATTTATTAAAATTTGTTGCACTGTACACTTTTGTGCATTCTATGTTATACTTCATGGTTTATGAACATATTTCAATTTGCTCTACAGAAATTGTTCCAGAATCAAATGAATGTCAATGCTAAAAGTTAAAATTTAAAGAAAAAGTCATTAAGTAAATTATGGAAACACTTACCAAAACAGAATCTGATTGGCACTGTATCTCTCATAGCGTGCTCTTGCAGACACTAACCTAACATTTAAAAAAAGTAAAAATTTTGAATTATTTTATCTTACATTTTGTTTCAAAAGTTGTTATAAGTACCATAACAGAAAATTACCAGATATACCACTAAATTTTCACTAAACTACAAGAGTTTAGATATACATAAAATGCCATAATATTTTCAAAAACTGCAATTATCTACTATTAAGTGGCATCAACTATAATACTCTTATGTACATTATAAAATCTATCAATCACACTAAATAATGTTCTTTTTTATTATGAAAGAATATACATTTGTATGGTTTGGTATTGAATCCTTGGTGTGAAGAACAGTTACTGGCAGAGGCATGCACATACAAAAAATTTTGTTGAATATATAAATCGGTTTACATTTAAAAAATACTTTTAAGTATTACTAAATGCTCTAATTTTCAGTTTTCTTCTTTCTTCCTGATATACTTATTTGACATATACTAACAGCTGAATTATGTTATATAGAAAACAGAATATATCAAATCCCAAATAATTGTATTTTAGCAATCTGGTCCATAACCAGAAACTTGACGAACACCCAGGAATGTGACTGAATAAGCTGGCCGTGGAAGGAAAATATGTTTAATCAAATGTTATACAAAAGTTACAAAAGTTAGTGTTTTACAGTACTCTAAAGGGTCTTTACAAATATAATCACAATGATGTACAATAAGCAGGACAGCCTATTTTACAGAGAAGAAAACAAGGTTCAGTGTCCACAGTAACTTATGCCAAATCAAGAGTCCTACTTCTTCCACTTCAATACAACACTGTAATACAACATACCATGTCCAGCTTAAGCATTTGGCATAATAAATATCAGTACAAACTACAAAAAGAAAACAGGAGTTTTGTTTTCACTAGCTAGCATATACTGAGCACTGTGCTTTGCTCTAGGTAATTACTCTCATTTAATCCTCAAAGACATTGTAATACAGATACTATTAATATTATTATCCCTATTTTATTGAAGATAAAACTGTAGCTGAAATGTTAAGACTTGCTTAAGGTCCCATGGCTAAGAAAAACTGGGATAGGAAATGCAAACACCCAGGCCTACCCTACAAAAGTCCCTGACTGACTTGGCCCCTGCAACTATTCATTTATTCATTTTTGAGACAGTCTTGCTCTGCCACCCTGGGTAGAGTGCAGTGTCATCATCACAGCTCACTATAACCTCAAACTCCTGGGCTCAAGCAATCTTCCTGCCTCAGCCTCCCAAGTAGCAGGGACTACAGGCGTGAACCACCAAACTCGACTAATTTCTTCTATTTTTAGTAGAGATGGGGTCTCACTCTTGCTCAGACTGGTCTTGAACTCCTAAGCTCGAGCCATCTGCCTGCCTCGGCTTCCCACAGTGCTAGGATTACAGGCGTGAGCCACTGCACCCGGCACCCTGGAACTATTAATACCTATCCAAACTCATTTTCCACAACTCTTTCTCTTGTCACTATGCTCCAGCCACCAAAACCCCCTTTCTTGGCATGGCTCCTTCCTGTCATTCAGGTCTCTACTCAAAACTTACTTCCTCTGAGAGATCTTTGCTGACCATCCAAACTCAAGCAGCAACCCAGTTAGTTTATTTCACATCACCATGCTTTAGTGTACTCATAGTAATTATCACTAGATATTATATACGTTTTTATTGTGTTTTTCCCTAACCCCAAAATCACCCACCAGAATATAAATTCCAGGAAACTAGAGATCAAATCTATATTGTATATTACAAGTGCTTAAAACAGTATGAGGAATATAAAAGTTGTTTAACAAATATTTGGTGAATAAACGAATAACTACATAGCACATGCTCTTAAATACAGCACTACACTTACCTAAGCTGATGTTCCCTGAGATTTGATAATATTTCCATTCCGTGAAGATAAGAATAAATAATATTTAAGTCCTGTGGAACAGAAGAAAAATTTTGATTATTTTTCAAATATACTTTTAAAAATATGATAGCCCACAATTTGACTTTAAGCAAAGAACCACTATGACAGAGATGTTAACTATGGAAGAGTCATCAAACCTCTGAATCACAAAAGATTTGAAAAGGTAGCACTCACTCAGCTCACACGGAACGCCTCTTTAACATGGCCAATGGCCTCTACTCAAACAATGCCAGAACCAAAAGCTCATTATTTCACATGAAAGTATATGAACTCATTTTGTTTCTAAACAGATGGAACTTTTTCTTCTTTAGTGACCTCCAAATATTAGGACACAGTTATCATGTCGTCCTTTAAGTCTTATTTTGTTGTTTTTTCCCTTCAGATTACAATCTCAATATTTGCAGGTTTGAGATCTTTAAGCATCCTGGCTAACACCCTCTAGAGATGACCCAGTTTATCAGTATTCTTAAAATATGACCTTCCAAAGAATCTCTTTCTAGAAAGACTTAAAATGATATAATCTACCACTAAACAAAAAAGACGTCCAGTGGTACAACCCTATCATTCTGAAAGAGGAAGGTAGCCTTTCTCTAGCCCTCACTCAGATAACTAGGTATAAAAAACTCAGGATGATACAGTATAACCTCAACTAAGAGCAGGGGCAGAACAGAGTAAGAATATGAAAGCAGCCTGCATCCTTGATATTATTTAAAACTGCTGGGGCATGGTGATAGTAAAAGGGAGACAAGCTTAAATTCTCTATTAAAAATGTACCTCCTATTCCCTTATAAAAAATAATTCCTTTATCCCAGGGCAGACCACTCCCAAACACTGCCTTCCCACTCTGATGTGCAACCGGCCAAGAGAATTATCAGATGACAGTAGAAAAGAAAAAGAAAAGAAACTCAAGACAACTTGCTTTACGGTAGGTTAATAAGACAACACGGAACTACTAAGACAAGTAGCAATAATCCCTGATTCCAAAGATCACAACTCCAATTAACCATAACAGATTGAACAACCACACGTATTTCTGCTAAATCCTTGCTAAAATGACAATGAAAAAGATTTTTAAGTATACAGAAAGGATGACTAGATTAAAAGAAGAAACCACAACAAATTAGAAAGGTCTACCAAACTTTGAAAGAAAACAGATGAAGTAGTGATATGGTAAATTGTATTTCCAAAGCTGGCTACAAAGATGTCTCTTATCCCGTATGCTCTTTTGCAGTGGGACCTTGCCACTATCCCATCAGAAACTGGAATCTATGTGTTGTGCCCTCGCCATGAATCTAGGTTGGCCCTGTAATTCGTTCTGAACAACAGAAAGTGGAAGAAGTTAAGGCTTGTGTAACTTCTGAAATTCAAGTTCCCTGAGCTCACCAATGTTTTGAAGAAGCCCAAGCTAGCCTCGGAGAAAGACCACATGCAACAGCATCAAGGTAACAGACATGTAAGTAATGCCTTCTTAGACCAGCCCAGCTACAAAGTGAATGGATCTGAGAAAATGATCCCAGTCAAGGCTCTATGGGGCAAAAGAACCAACCATCCAGCTAAAACCTGCTGAATGGAGGTAATAAATAGAGTCCAAACAAATTCCTAACTCACAGTGGGCCCACTGAGCCTGTACTCAACTAATAATGGTCATTATCCACCCCAAGTTTACATAGTAATTAGAATTTATATACTTTTACAAAGCAACCGCTTGTCCAAAAAAAAAAAAAAAAAAAAAAAAAAAAAAGAATTTATATACTTGGCAGTTAAAATAACTTCCACAATGGTTCCATGACCTGTCTGGTAAGAGCTGTCACAGTGGAAGAGGCCAAGCGGAACCCTCTGAAACTGCCCTATTCCCCAAAACAAGACAGTATATAAAAGACAATATTGCTTCCAGAGGAGCAAAGAATAGAGAATACTAGTGCCGCCAGTAAAGACTTAAAGTATGCAGGGGTAATGGTCCCTATCATATTCTATTTAATTCGTGTGGGCCCTGTAGAAAGCAGATGAATCCTGAAAAAAGACTGTGTAGACTACCACAGACTTCTAAAAATTGCAGCTGCAGTCTGAAACATAATGCTGTTGCTGAAGCTGATTAATGAAGCCTCAAATACTGATTTGGTGAATGCATTCTTTTCCATTCCAATTAGAACAGAGGAGCAGAAACAGTTTCATTCATTCATGTGGGGCAACATTAACTTACAGTTTTGCCAGAAGGCTATGTTAACTCTCCCACTCCCTGTCATAACATAGCCTGAAGACATCTAGACCTCCTCACTGATTACATCACACTGACAGGACAGAATGAACAGAATGAGCAAGAGGTGGCTGGTACCCTGGAGTCCTTGGTTAACACAAATGCACACCAGAAAGTGGGAAAGAAACCCTTTGAAGAATCAAAGATCTGCCATTTCAGTGAAGTTTTTAGAGGTATGGTGGTTGGGGCATGTCAGGACATCTTCTCCAAAGGAAAAGACAAACTGTAAGGACTTTGGTTTTAGGTCAAGATAAAATAAGAGGGACTGGACTTACACTCCACCTAAAACAACTAAAAATAAAAACAAATACATGAAACATTTTTCAAGAGATAGGACATCGGAAACCTATGTAGTGTTGACAACTGAGAAGAGAGAAACAAATGAGGTAAAACATATGATTTACCCCACTTTAATGTCTGGTAGTAAGAAGGAGCTGGCAGTCTGGGGAGTAGAAAGTAGACAGAATTTGCAGAGCAGCAGCAGATGGAGAGAGGGCTACATAGAAAGAGTGTTCCAGAAACCTACAGAAGGTCCCTCTTGAGTCTTAAGGTGAGTGAGTTGTCATCACATGCCTGTGAATAAATATCTAAAGTCAGGTAAAGAACTACCTGGAAGGGTTGTAGAGTAGTAATCCTCAACCAGGACAGATTTTTGTCCCCCTGGGTGACATTTAGCAATGTCTGGGTACTTGAGGTTGTCATGACCTGGAAGGGGGGATGCTACTGGCAGCAAGTGGGTAGAAGTCAGAGATGCCACTAAACATCACGCAATGTACAGAACAGGGCCCCAGAACAAATGATTATTTGAGCCAACATGTCAATAGTGCTGAGGTTCAAACAACTGGGATTAGAGGAGAGTTCCAGTTCCCACCAGAGTGCAAAACCTCATAATTCACAATGCATTTAGTAGAGTACTCAGAAGGCTTTAGATTCAATATTGGGGCAAAATTTATCTTAGACTAAATATTACTGTGGTGCTGGATAACACAGCTCAAAAGGCCCGGATGGATGGAACTGTTTCCAAGTTACTTAACTAGTCCCAGAACAATGCCCAAGAATGTTCATAGGAATACAAAAATATCCAGCAAATAAAAAGGTGAAATTCACAATCTCTGGCTGTCTCAGTTTATTTGTATTGCTATACAGGAATCCCTGAGGCTGGGAAATTTATAAAGAAAAGCAATTTATTTAGCTCACGGTTCTGCATGCTGTACAAGAAGCATTGTGCCAGCATCTGTTTCTGGTGAAGGCTTCAGGCGGCTTCCACTCATGGCAAAAGGGGAAAGGGAGCCAGCGTGCAGAAATCTTATGGCAAGAGAGAAAGTAAGAGAGATAGAGGGGAGAGGTGCCAGGTTTTTTTTTTTTTTTTTAAACATCCAGCTCCCCCAGGAACTAACAGAGTGAGAACTCACCCACACTCTCTGCCACCAATTCCTCAGGTGAGGGCATTAACCTATTTCATTAGGGATCTGCCCCCATACTGTAAACACCTCCTTTGAGGCCCCACCTCCAACAATGGGGATCAAATTTCAACATGAGGTTTGAAGGGGTCAAATATTCAAACCACAGCATTGGTATACACTAAAAAATGACCAGGAATGCAAGGAGGCAGGAAAAATTACTTGAAGAGGAAAATTAATCAAAACTGACTTGATAATCACACAGATATTAACAGTAGAATTAGTATAAAAGGACATGGTAAAATGTATATAACTATACTGCATATATTCAAGAAGATATAGAAAAGACTAAGCAAACAATCAGAAATAAAAACAATAATGTCTGAGATGAAAAATACACTGGATGGGATTAATAGTATATTAGACATTTCAGAAGACTAATAAACTTGAAGATACAGCAATAGAAATTATAAAAAGAGAAAATAGAAAAAAATATGAACAGAGCACCAGTGTGCTATGGGCCAACTTCAAGAAGTCTAACATGAGTGTAACTGGAGTCACTGTGGGAATAGAAAGAACAGAAAAAATATTTGAAGAATGGTAGAAAATCTTCCATATTTGATAAAAACTATAAACTCACACACTCACACTCCTTCTGCCTCAGCCTCCCAAGTAGCCAGGACCACAGGCATGTGCCACCATGCCCGGCTAATTTTTTTCCTATATATTTGTAGTTGTCCAGCTAATTTCTTCCTATTTTTTTTTAGTAGATACGGGGTCTTGCTCTTGCTCAGGCTGGCCTTGAACTCCTGAGCTCAAACAATCCGCCCGCCTCGGCCTCCCAGAGTGCTAGGATTACAGGCGTGAGCCACTGCGCCCGGCCCGAGAACAGTTATTTGTTAACAAGCAGACTACCTGTCCCTCTCATCCCAGAAGGGCCAGTAGTTCATTTCACAGGGATGGATATCTACACTCTGGATTTGGGTTTGTCTTACCTACCTCACAGCTTCAGCCAGGACCATGATCCAGGGGCTAACGGAATGACTGAACCCCAGGAATGGAATCCCATGCAGCAAAGCGTCCTAACAGTGGCCCCAGTTCATAGCAAGGGAAGCACAGGAATAAGTCCATGACCACAGGACTACTAGTCGTATCAAACACCACACCATCCACAAACAGCTGTCCTCACAAAACACTGAAACACCCTTCTAAAGGCACAGTTGAACTTTTAGCTTAAAGGCAGTATGAAAGAATGGGTAACATCTTTTAATATACAGATATATCAAATCAGAGACCTCTATATGGTGTTGTTGATACAGGAGAATAGATGGACTCGGGCCAATGAGTAGAAGCAAGA